AAAGGTCTTCATTATAGGAATTTCTAAAGCCCTTATTTCAGTAAAAACGGGAAATGCAATGGTAAACATGTTAATTTACACACACACACACTGTAAAAATGAATAAATTATCTAATTTGTGAGGTAAAAGATCAAGACAGAACTAAAGTTCTAGACTACAATAATATAAACTGTGGAATGATTGGGATATGTGAAATTAAAGTATTCTATTGTGCTTATGTTATCTGGGTAGAAAGTAAAGACATTGACCTTAGGCTTCATTACTTTAAAAGGCATAACACTTTATTTTTGATTTTGTTGCCTATGATTTTGGTCTCAAATCCAAGAAATTATTGCAAAGGCCAATGTGAAGGTATTATGTTTAAATCTTTAATCCATTTTGAGTTGATTTTTGTGTATACTTTAAGATAGCAATCCATTTTTTGAATTTTATTTTTAATTTAATAAATAAAAATGGTATATATTTATCATGTACAACATGAGGTTTTGAAATATGTATATATTGTGGAATGGCTAAATTGAATTAATTAACATGCATACTATCTTGCATACTTATCATTTTTTCTGGAGTAAGAAGATTTAAAATTAGGAATCCAATCCGAGTGCTATTGTATTGCTGTCTACTCCTTTTAGTTCCATTAATGTTTTCTTTATGTTATTTTGCTGTTCAATGTTGTGTAAATATATATGAATAATTGGTCTACCTCCCTGGAGAACTGACCTTGTCATTATATAATGACTTTCTTTACTACATTTCTGACTACATCATTACATAATGTCTTTCTTTACCTTTTGTAACAATTTCTGACTTAAAGTCTATTTTATCTGATATAAGTGTAGACAACCCTGATCTCTTTTGGTTATTATTTTCATGGAATATCTTTTTTTATCTCTTCAATTTCACCTTATTTGTACCCTTAAATCTAAAGTGAGTCTCTTGTAGGCAGAGTATAGTTAGATATTGTTTTATTGTCCATTCATCCACTCTGGATTGGAGAATTTAATTCATTTAAAGTAATTATCGATGAACTGTTGCCATTTAGTTCACTGTTTCCTTTTATCCTCATTCATGTAAAACAGTATATTACATTTATTGATTTGTATATATTGAACCATTCTTGCATTCCAGTTTTAAATTTCACTTGATTATGTTGAATAATTTTCAATTTTGTTGTATGGTTCTTTGGTTTCTTTCTTACTCTTTTGCTGTCTTCCTTATTGACTGGATGATATACTGGCAAGCCGACTGCAACAGCACATCAAAAAGCTTATCCACCATGATCAAGTAGGCTTCATTCTGGGGATGCAAGGCTGGTTCAACATACGCAAGTCTATAAACATAATTCACCACATAAACAGAACCGAAGACAAAAACCACATGATTATCTCAACTGATGCAGAGAAAGCCTTTGACAAAATTCAACAGCCCTTTATCCTAAAAACTCTCAATAAACTAGGTACTGATGGAACATATCTGAAAATAATAAAAGCTATTTACAACAAACCAACAGCCAATATCACACTGAATGGCAAAAACTGGAAGCATTCCCCTTGCAATCTGGCACTAGACAAGAATGCCCTCTCTCACCACTCCTATTCAATACAGTATTGGAAGTTCTAGCCAGAGCAATCAGGCAAGAAAAAGAAATGAAGGGTATTCAAATACCTTTTGAATATTTGAAAAGGAGAAAGTAAAATTGTCTCTATTTGCAGATGACATGATTGTATAGTTAGAAGACCTCATCGTCGCAGCCCAAAATCTCCTGAAACTGACAAGCAACTTCAGCAAAGCCTCAGGATAAAAAATCAATGTGCAAAAATTACAAGCATTCCTGTACACCAGTAACAGACTTAGAGCCAAATCAAGAACGAACTGCCATTCACAATTGCTACAAAGAGAATAAAATACCTAGGAATACAACTAACAAGGAACGTAAAGGACCTCTTCAAGGAGAACTACAAACCACTGCTCAACGAAATAAGAGCAGACACAAACAGATGGAGAAACATTCCATGCTCATGGTTAGGAAGAATCAATATTGTGAAAATAGCCATACTGCCCAAAGTAATTTATAGATTCAACAGTATCCTCATCAAGCTACCAATGACCTTCATCACAGAACTGGAAAAAAACACCTTAAACTTCATATGGAACCAAAAGAGAGCCCACATAGCCAAGTCAATTCTAAGCAAAAAGAACAAAGTGGGAGGCATCACACTACCAGACTTCAAACTATACTACAAGGCTACGGCAATCAAAACAGCATGGTACTGGTACCAAAACAGAGATATAGACCAATGGTACAGAACAGAGGCCACGGAGGCAACACCACACATCTACAGCCATCTGATCTTTGACAAACCTGACAAAAACAAGCAATGGGGAAAGGATTTCCTGTGTAATAAATGGTGTTGGGAAAACTGGCTAGCCATGTGCAGAAAGCAGAAACTGGACCCCTTCCTGACACCCTATGCTAAAATTAATTCCAGATGAATTAAAGGCTTAAACATAAGACCTAACACCGTAAAAACCCTAGAAGAAAATCTAGGCAAAACCATTCAGGACATAGGCATAGGCAAGGACTTCATGACCAAAACACCAAAAGCATTCGCAACAAAAGCCAAAATAGACAAATGGGACTTAATCAAACTCCACAGCTTCTGCACAGCAAAAGAAACAGTCATTAAAGTGAATCGGCAACCAACAGAATGGGAAAAAATTTTTGCAGTATACCCATCTGACAAAGGGCTGATATCCAGAATCTACAAAGAACGAAAGCAGATTTACAAGAAAAAAACAAACAAGCCCATTCAAAAGCGGGCAAAGGATATGAACAGACACTTTACAAAAGAAGACATACATGAGGCCAACAAACATATGAAAAAATGCTCATCATCACTGGTCATCAGAGAAATGCAAATCAAAACTACATTGAGATACCATCTCACGCCGGTTAGAATGGCGATCATTAAAAATTCTGCAGACAACAGATGCTGGAGAAGATGTGGAGAAATAGGAACCCTTTTACACTGTGGTGGGAATATAAATTAGTTCAACCATTGTGGAAGACAGTGTGGCGATTCCTCAAGGACCTAGAAATAGAAATTCCATTTGACCCAGCAATTCCATTACTGGGTATATATCCAAAGGGTTATAAATCATTCTACTATAAGGACACATGCACACGAATGTTCATTGCAGCACTGTTTACAATAGCAAAGACCTGGAGCCAACCCAAATGCCCATCCATGATAGACTGGACAGGGAAAATGTTGCACATATACACTACGGAATACTATGCAGCCATCAAAAACGGTGAGTTTGTGTCCTTTGTAGGGACATGGATGAACCTGGAAACCATCATTCTCAGCAAACTGACACAAGAACAGAAAATCAAACACTGCATGTTCTCACTCATAGGTGGGTGTTGAACAATGAGAACACGTGGACACAGGGAGGGGAGCATCACACACTGGGGTCTGTTGGCGGGAATAGGTGAGGGACAGCAGAGGGTGGCGAGTTGGGGAGAGATAACATGGGGAGAAATGCCAGATGTAGGTGATGGGGAGGAAGGCAGCAAATCGCACTGCCATGTGTGTACCTATGCAACAATCTTGCATGTTCTTCACAGGTACCCCAAAACCTAAAATGCAATAAAAATAATACATCCCTATAGTCAAAAGTTGGAGAATATTCCCCCGTCATACAAACTTTGAGCACTTATGAAAACTGACCACATATTAAACAACAGAGCAAGTATCAACAAATTTCGTAGCCTCAGTATTTCATAGAATATATTACCTGATCATTATCTTAAAACTATATCTGTTAACAAAAACGTAACACATAGCCAAGTGTTTAAAATGAAAACTCACATTTCTTTGTAATTAATGGGTCAAGTAAGAAAGAATAATGGAAATCAGAAATAAAGATAATAAAAATACTGTCAGTCAGATACTTCTAGGTGTTGCTAAGGTGGTATTTAGGGAGGGAATTTGCCTTAAATGCTAATAAGAAAAAGGCCAACCAAAACTAATGAAAAACACCTCGAAATCACAAGATAATATTTTAATTTAAGAAGTTGAACATCAGAATAATCCAAAGAAATTAAAGAGAAGAAATAAACAAGATGATAGCAAAATTAAATGAGACAAAAGGAGAAAGAATCAGAAAGCAAGAACAGATTTCTTAAAACTATTTATTAATAAAACCAGCAAACCTTTTGCAAGATTTATGTAGAACAATAATAGAGAAATCACAGATTTAAAATGTTGGGAACAAAAAAGAATACAGATACATGTAACATAGATTTAAAAGAAAATATTGTAATCAACTTTCTGTCAATACTTTTGAAAACAAGTATAATGGTCAAATATCTGGAAAAATATAAATTATAAACCTAATTAAAATTAAATAGAAAATCTGAAGAGTCTAATAACCATGATAGAAGTTGCACCAGTAATCAAACATCTTCCCTGGGCCATATGTTTTTATCTGCAAGTTCTACCAAATGCCAAAGGAACATATATCTTAATTTTCCACATTCTATTTCAGAAAATGAAAAAAATAGAAATAAAGAGGGAGAACATTCTCCAGTTAATTTATGAGGTTAATATAATGTCAATACCAAAACCAAATAGGAATATTTAAAGACAGGTAAAACTATAGCTGAATCTTGCCCAAAAATACACATATAAATATTCTAGATAATATATTAGCAAAGCAAATGCCGCAATTACAGAGAAGATAACACAATGGAAAAATCTGGTTTACTACAGGAATGCAAGTTTGGTTCAACACTAGAATATCTGTTAATGAAATTAGCATTTTCACAGGTCAAAGAGAAAATATAAATACCTAAATTGATCCAGAAAAATCATTTTATCGATATGACTTAATGACCACCTATGATTGAGAACTCATAGTAAACTAGAAATAAAATACTGACAAGCTAACTAAACACAACGAACTAATTAACTAAACTTTGTAAATTTGTTACCTGAATCCCACATTGGAGTGAAGAGCAATGTTCCAATATTCACAATGCAAACGTTGTACATTCATTGGATTATGAAAGACTAAAAGTAAAGAGTTGTCTTGGGTGTGGTAGTAAGAATCAACACACCTATACTGCTTATGGGCTTCTTGAAGGACCTGAAAATCAAAATAATTGCATTGTAGAATCTTTTTTATTTTCCCCAAGAGAAGGTCTCCTACTAGGGCATTTCTCTGCTCCCCTTTTCTTTCTACATTTACCTCCACATTGTTACTCAAGCTGAAATTCCCAGAGGATTCTTTCCTAACTGATAGGTGAGGGCATAAATGATAGATAGCTTCAGAAGCATTTCAGCAACACTTAACAGAAAAACGCATAGTAGGCATCAGGCAGAGAGGCATTTGCTACAAGTGTTCTTCATTAAGGTTGGTAGGTCATCATTAAGCACAGCAGTCATTTATCTAGCATTTTCCATGCCTTGATACATACACCATCGAATTTTATCGTCATAAAACTCCAGACATTAATTAAATTGTGTTCACCATTTCTATGTATATGTCAAAGCCTTAACTGCTAATGTGATGATATTTGAAGATGCGGCTTTGGGGAGGTAATTAGCTTTGGATGGGGTTTGAGAGCAGGGCCCTCAAGATAGGATTAGTGCCCTTATAAGTAGAGGCAGCAGAGAACTTGTTCTCCCTCCCTCTTTCCCTTCATCACCGCTCCCTCTTCCACTCTCTGCCAGGTGGGGACACAATGCGAAGGTGCAAGCCAGGAAGGAGGCCCTCACCAAAACCCAATCATGCTAGCACCCAGACCTCAGACTTGCAGCCTCCAGAACTGTGAGAAAATTTCTGTTGTTTAAGCCACTCAAGATGGCATTTTGACAGGGCAGCCCAAGTGGGCTAAAACAGAAGGTATGATCATTTTTCCCATTTCAGAACACTGGAATTCTCATTTTTTTTTTTTTAAAGCATAAATTGGGGCTAAGAGAGAATAAGGGACTTGTCTAAGAACACTATGTGTTATGGTGCCAGGGCTCATTCTGTTTTCCAACTCTAAATTTTACCATTTCGTGTTTTCTCCACTACACCATGCTGTGTTACATGAAGTGAAGTGAGTGGTCTTTCTGATAGATACCATTTCTACCTGCCTTCCAACTCTGGCCCTTTTTGTTTTGTTTTGTTTTTGAGACGGAATTTCGCTCTTTTTACCCAGGCTGGAGTGCAATGGCGCGATCTCGGCTCACCGCAACCTCCGCCTCCTGGGTTCAGGCAATTCTCCTGCCTCAGCCTCCTGAGTAGCTGGGATTACAGGTATGCGCCACCATGCTCAGCTAATTTTTGGTATTTTTAGTAGAGATGGGGTTTCACCATGTTGACCAGGATGGTCTCGATCTCTTAACCTCGTGATCCACCCGCCTCGGCCTCCCAAAGTGCCGGGATTACAGGCGTGAGCCACCACGCCCGGCCCCCTTTTTTAGCTTTTTGAGACAGAGTTTCACTCTTATTGCCTAGGCTGGAGTGCAATGGTGCAATCAGCTCACTGCAACCTCTGCCTCCCAGGTTCAAGTGATTCTCCTGCCTCAGCCTCCTGAGTAGCTGGGATTACAGGCATGAGCCACCATACCTAGCTAATTTTTGTATTTTTGGTAGAGACGAGGTTTTTCCATGCTGGTCAGGCTGGTCTTGAACTCCTGACCCCAGGTGATCCGCCTGCCTTGGCCTCCCAAAGTGCTGAGATTACAGGTGTGAGCCACCGCACCCAGCAACTCTGGCCCTTTCTAAAGCCTACTGTCCTCAGCATGCACTGCAGCAGCAGCCACCAATAGAGAGACACAGTGGGCAGCTGCTTATCCTGTTTCCTTTGTCAATCAACAATAAGGAAATTGTTGAGAGGAAAAATAAATTAGGCAGCTGAGGGCTTTTGTTTTTGTTTTTAGTATCAATCTGCTGTAGGCAGCTTTTGGTTCTTTATTGTTTGTGTGATCTGAAGGCATGGAATGATATATTACATTTGAAAAGAGCTGCTTTAATTTTGCTTTCAATTCTACATTGGTGGCATAATCAAAACAATACATTTGCTTCCCCCAATTTAGTCCCCTGAACAAGTATCTTTATGAAGTGGCACTTTTACATCTGGTCCCTCAGAGCCAATATAAGAAACATACAATGAATATCTTTGCATTAAAAAAAAAATTGCTATGCAGGGTAACCATCTAGTACCTATTGATGTGTTTTTGAAAAGCAAATTCTGCTCAGACTATGAACCCAGAAAACCATTGCATTTATGATGAACATACATCCTTCTTTCTTTTAGATAAGAAGAGCTTTGAAATCTTTGTGTTTTCATATTTGCCTTGGGGGGTGCTAAAAATACAGCACTAAGCTTCTCAGAGACATAGCTGCTCTCAATCAATATATAAAGTTTTCATATCGTATCTTCTCCTTTTTACTAATTGGTGCTTGTCTTTTATTCTGTATGTCTTTGGTCACATTAGTTATTTAGTTAAGATTTGCATTAAAACTGAGTACCTACTATGTGGCAGGCATGGTGCAGGTACTAGGAAAACAAAAATAAACAAACTAGATAAGATTTTCCTCTAAAATATGATTAAGTATTTTTTTTTTTTTTAAATTAGAGATGAGACCTTGCTAAGGCTGGACCAGGCTGGCCCCTCTAAAGCCTAGCCTCAAATGATCTTCCTGTCTCAGCCTTCTGAATAGTTGGGACTATCGGCCTGTGGCTTTATAGATTATTTTGGAGTTGAGAGAGGTGTGCCCAAAAAGATAAAACAGATGCAATACCTGATATACAGAGAAGGTATTAGAGCAGGGCAGGAGTGGAAGCAGGTAATCAGGAGGATATTGCTGTAGAATGAGAGGGTGGTAGTCATATGAAAGCAGGCCGGGCGCGGTGGCTCACAACTGCAATCCCAGCACTGTGGGAGACCAAGGCAGGTGGATCACAAGGTCAGGAGATTGAGACCATCCTGGCCAACATGGTGAAAACCCATCTCTACTAAAAATACAAAAATTAGCTGGTTGCGGTGGTGTACACCTGTAGTCCCAGCTACTGAGGCAGGAAAATTACTTGAACCTGGGAGGCGGAGGTTTCAGTGAGCCGAGATTGTGCCACTGCACTCCAGCCTGGGTGACAGAGTGAGACTCCATCTCAAAAAAAAAAAAAAAAAAAAAGCAAATAAAAAGGTCAGGGAAGATGAAGAAATATTTGGCAAGACAAAGATTATTGATTACCTTGAAAACTGCAGCTTCATGGAGTGGTAAGGACAGAAAAACTGATATAAAATAAAGTCTGAAATAAACTTTCATTTACAGAGAGAAGATTGAACATTTGTACTCCCTAAGACCCCATTTAAAAAACAGTACAATTTTGTTTAATATCATAAAATTGAAGGCCAACTTCAATTTGTTGAAGGAGAAGAGGCAAAGGCACCAGAATTTTAGATCTGGAAAGAAGAAGGATACGTGCTAACTGACTTAGCAGAACACAGAAAGCCAGGTCATAAGATTAATTTTAGGAGAGACCAGAGGCAACCCCATTTGTGTGCAAAATATAGAAAGTCTCAGGATATGAAAATACTAGTCACATCTGCAAGGGGGTTAAAAGTGGCACTGAAAATAGGAAGATTAGTTCCAAGTCTTTTTAAGAAGTAGTTTGGCCCCAGGATCCCCTTCCAATTCTGAGCAGCTGGGTTACTGCCTATCTCCCACTCCAGTGAGGGGAAGAGGGTAACTACAGATGGTAGACCAATGGGTTCTAAGAACAGTGGACCCACGACACACTGACGGAAAAGTGCATTCCAGAAAAAAGGGAAATTGTGTAAAAGCCTAAATCAGCACTGCTCAACAGAAATGTAAAGTGAGCCACAAATGTGAGCCACATGTGCAATTCTAAATTATATAGTAGCCACATTTTAAAAAGTAAAAACAAATAAATGTAATGATATATTTTACCTAACCCAATAGATAAAAATTATCATTTCGACATAAAATCAATACAAAAGTAATCAATTATATACATATGCATATACATCACCTTTTTAAAATCTTGGAAATTGAGTGTATATAGCACCTATATGGCTATAAAGATAGTGTATAGCATAGTTATTCCATATCTCAATTTGGACTAGATTCATTTCAAGTACTCAGAAGTTAGATGTGACTAGTGGCTACCATATTGGATAATGCAGATCTAAATAAATGTCAGAAGCTTAATTGCCTTCCCCCATTACTCAGCTCTCAAAACACTGACAGGAAGGTTTAAAAGACTTTCAGATGGAAAATTAGACTTTTTGTTTTCATGGAGAATTTAAGTGGCCCAAGTAAACAGTCCTAACATACCAACACTGGTGAGTCTCCTAAGGAAATCTCCCAGCCAAATCACCCAACGATGAACTCAGCTATTGACAACCCCTACCCCGCCTTATATAGCACTTCCTACTGTGTTTTTAGTGTTTCATTATTAATATGAGGAAAGAGGACAATATTATATGTTACCCTCTAACATCAAAAATGAAGAACAAACGAAAAGAAAAAGGAAAAGAAACTTGGAGGAAAAAGACATAATTCAGGGAGAAAACTTCAGAGGACTTTAATATCCTCATAGAGATAAGAGAAGGTATTATATCAGAAATGCAGTGGCTAACGCCTGTAATGCCAGCACTTTGGGAGGCCAAGGTGGGTGGATCACCTGAGGTCAGGAGTTCAAGACCAGCCTGGCCAGCATGGGAAAAACCCATCTCTACTAAAAATACAAAAATCAGCTAGGTGTGGTGGCACGTGCATGTAATCCTAGCTACTCAGGAGGCAGAGGCAGGAGAATCACTTGAATCTGGAAAGTGGAGGTTGCAGTGAGCCGAGATCTTGTCACTCCAGGCTAGGCAACAGAGCAAGACTCTGTCTCAAAATAAATAAATAAATAAAAAGAAAGAAAGAAAAAAAGAAATGTAAAATGATCCTATAAAAAGGTAATTTGGAATTACAAATAGAACTTTAGGAAATTAAAATGATAATAGCAGGAATAAAAGGCTCAGTATAAGAACTGAATGGAAACTGAGCAATATTTCCAAAACCAAAAGACAAAGTGATGGGAATTAAAAGAAAAGGAAATTGGGAGTTCAGTCCAGGAGGTCCAACAACAGAATGATAAGAGTCCCAGAAGAAAAGGACAGGGAAAATGGAGGGGAGAGGTTACCAAAGAAGTGATTATAGAAAATTTCCCAAAAGATAAAGACAGGAATTTCTGGATTGCACTGGCTTGCCAGAACGATATATATATAGAATCACACTAAGGCATATCAACAGGAAATCAAGAGCACTGGAACAAAGAGAAGATCTTAAAATCTTCCAGTGAGAAGATCAAAACATACTCAGCTGATTAGGACTCAGAATTTCTTATTTATTTTTTAAAGGACAATCTGGGAAGCCAGAATACTGTCAAAGAATGTCTTTGGTCTTGAGGAAAAATGTTTTTTAATTTAGCATTTACTATAAAGCCAACTCTCAGTTAATATAAAGATAGAATTAAGATATTTTCAAATATTGAATACTTTGAAAACTTATCTGCCATCTATCTTAATTAAGGAAGCTACTGGAAGAGATGATCCTCACAGAAAACAGAGAGTAATGGGAGAAGGGACACATGGGATGAAGGAAACAGGCATCTAACTGGAAAGGAAGGAAATGGGTGTGGCCTGGATGAAGGTAAAGGGAGGGCCCAGGACCACAGCTGTGCAGCAAATTTAAGGATTATGGGAGAGATATCACTAATACAATAAAACTAATAGAATATCTGTTACGTTTGAATGTACTGAGAGACTTACACTATGGTACAGAATTTGGGGATATGTTGATAATAAATACACAGTAAGCTAAACAAATAGAAAAAGAGACAACATGTAACTGCAGAGAAAACAAAAATGGTACTGATAAATATTGTTGTAGAATACTACACAGTTCAGCTGTGAATAGTGCTTATGTAACTGAAATAAAGTGAATTTTGAATACCGATCTAACCAAAAATTACGGTATCATTAACAGTATCAGAGAATGGAGAAGTGCTACTGTGAATGTGGGGGGGGGGTGGGCGTGTACCCGTACGTGCCCACGCGTGTTGAAATGGGGTGGGCAAAGCTGTGTTCTCAAGAGGGAAATCAATTGATAATGATGTCACAAAACTAAAACTAAAATGAAACAAAATATACTTGCTATTTAGAGATCACTGCATAAAGCAATAAATGAAAGGGGTAAATGTGCCGAAGATTTTTGCCTCTAAGAATTGGTGGAGTGGGGTGGGAGTGGGGGAAGGAGGCTGCTATTTTTCATGATAAGACGTTGTAGAACTTTCTGGCTTAAAAAACATGTTGTAAAACTTTGATAAAAATAAAAATCAAATTAAAAAGACAAAACCAAAAGAGGACAGGTTTGTGTAGAAAATCTAAAAACAACAAAAAAGGATTTAGGTTTAGGATTACTTGTTGTTTTGCAGAGTGGGTAAGAGCACAAGTTCTGCGGCCAGAATTCCTGGGTTTGTATCTTGCTTCTCAGCTGTCATGTGACCTTGGGCAAAAGTCACTGTTGGTCAAGGTGCCTCAGCTTCCTACCACTTACATAGTTTCTACTTCATAGTTTTATTGGTAGGATTAAATAAACTAATAATACATATTAATCAGTGTCTGTCACATGGTAAGTGCTCAATGAATGTTAGCTATCCCAGATTCCATTGAACTGTCAATCAACATGGAAAATACTGTGAAATGTGAAACTGAGTAGAATGGATAAACAATATGGGAAAAAAACAGGGTTGTTTCCCAATAAAACTTTAAGAAAATATATACAGCAGCATATATATGTGTGTGTTTGTGTATATGTTTATACATATATATATATATGCAGCAGTCTTGTATATTTCTTTTTTTCTTAAAATATTTTATAAAAGCATTCTTTTGTAAAGTATATTTTAAACTATTTTAGAGAGTCCCTGCAAATGCATGGCTCAAGCTGGGAATAAATTTATTTTATAGCTGAAGTAAATGAGAATATTCATCTGAACTAGATCTGAGAGAATGACCTAGACGTGAACTGTTCTAAATGACAGCAGACTCTCCAGACCTATCTGACCGTCTGCTGGAGAATCGCAGTCCATAAATACCTGAAGCAGTACTTCTGGTTTAAAATGTTCAGTAAAACTCCAGTCCATTAGACTGCGCTGCTGTGTTTTCTTTATGTCTTCTAAATCTGCTTCCACCATCATCTTCTTGGGTTTCTAAAATATCATAGCAACACAATTTCAGCTTTAATTTGTTTAAGTCCAAATGGAGCCCTCTTGGGCTCCGTCAACTAACCAGCATGTACTCCATCTAATTGGGGAAATCTGCATATGTATAAATCCATATGGCAACATTTTAGGAGAGCTGCTGCCAAAAAGACTATGCCTTTGACTTTTTTTTATGGGCAACATAATCTAAATATTTTTATTGTTAGGTTATACTCTTCTGAGTCCTGTTAGCAATTACAGGCAGGTTTTCTGAACTCTCTTCAAGACAATGTTAGCTCTACATGGCTGTATGGTGAGCAGGTGTTTGTGAGGTTGCCAAGCCACACTGTCTAGAGAGGAGCCTGGAGCTGGGAAGTTATGTGCAGGCTTCCTAGCAAAATTAACTCCTTTCTCTCCATTTGGAGCTGTTCTGGGGATGTCTGAATGATTCCTCTTTTCTAGCCTCAGTATTCTCCAAGTATCCTCTTTTTCCTTTTTCAGTGTTTCTCACTCCAAATCATGGTTTTCTCAGATCATCCTGTTATCTACATGTTTAGAAAAATAATTCCTTACCTTTACATGAAAATCAGCCTTTGTTTCTGTATCATCTTTGATCTCATTGTTTGTGGTCTGCTCTGTAAATCAAAGACACCAACATCCAGTTGTGTTCTGGCTTTGTTCTTGCCCCGCTGGTTAATGCTGTGACCTTTTGTTGCCCATATGATCTATGTTTCTGTGCCGAAAAGGTAATGCCTGAAAGGTATGTTTTGTGCCTCCAGAAAGGTGTTTGTGTCCATAATTCTAAATCTGTGCCTACCTAGAAAAATTATACTAAGCTCTTTGAAAAGAACTTAGTTTCTTATGTGAAATATCTTAAATCATATCAGATATTCTGCTTTCAGACTGTACCATTCACTTTTAACAATATACCTTTACCTTTAAAAGTTGTAAATATTTACTGATAACATCCAACTTCTTAGTACACGTCATTTGTCTTCTTGTGCTGGTGTCTATCACAAAGCTTTTTAAATTTCCGGGGATCTTATCTCATGGATGACAGACTAGGGTGGGGTCAGGCCATGGGTGCAAAGAGGCACTGGCAGACAAATGAACTTCCTATTGGAAAATGATATGCTTTCACCATTCTGCAGGGCTTTCCTTCTGTTCATGAATCATTAATTAATTTAAAAATGATTTAATGAGCGTATGCTAATTTATAGACGGAGCTTAACCAAAGTTAAATAAATGAAGGGGCAGCTGGACTCCAGGGCACTGTACCATGAACCGATACGAGTCATGTACACTAGCTTTCCTTGTGACCACAGAGTATACTTATATGATGATTGAGATGGTGATATCATCGTTGGCTATGATGGAAAGGTGAATGAACAGGGAAGGAACAGATTCATGCTGCTGATTTCTGCATCACCAGAAGAATCCCATGATAAGTTTAACATAGATCAACGAACATCAAACCGTGAATGTCTTAGAATTTGCAATTTGCTCTTGTTATTGTGACTCTCTAACAGAGAAATGAACAACCTATATAGTATTTTACAAATCTGATAATAGAAATAGAGTATGTGTGTGTGGGAGGTGGATCTCGTGTAAATATACTTGATGCTGCTGAACAACTGAACCACCCTGACTTCTTATCACTTTTAGAATAAAGGAAGGTTACATCTGACAAAGTCGTACAGGAATTAGCTCTGGCCTAACTCTCCGAACACAACTCTTTGACTCTTTCTTGCTCATTCTACTCCAGACATACTTGTCTGCATGCTGTCTTGAGCGTCTTGCACTTGCTGTCCCTCTGGCATGCTTTGCCCTTAGCTGTTCACCTTTTTCAGACCCTGACTTCATTCATATTGTTCAAGTATCACCTTCTCAAGAGCCTTCTGCTTCATCCTCTGCCTTTTTTTTTTTTTTTTTTTTTTTTTTTTTATTTTTTCCTTTTCTTTTTTTTTTTTTTTACTGTACCCTGAGCACTCGGCACCTGGTAGGAACTCAGGAAATACTTCCTTTTGATTGAATGAGAGGCATCTACATCATATATTAAATGTGGAAATGAACCTAGAGCCACATAGAGAAATTAGAAATGTGGAAGAAAACCTACAAGAAAGCCTTACTCTGCGGCAAGCATAAGACGATTTTTATTCTATGGCAAGCACAAGACAACTTTTTATTCTGTGGCAGAGAACCATATTTGGGCTTCTAGAGGGAAAAGCTGATTGTGCCTACAGAGGACAGGCCAGTGTTTTTCTTTCTTTCAGGAGCACAGCTACTTACATTTTTGCTACTAGTTTCATCTTGCCTTGGGCTGGTGAAGGTGACAGCATGAATGTTCCATTTTGATTTAGGGGAAAACCATACAGCCAATTTGGTTCAGTATTTATATAAATACATCTACTCAAGAGAAAACTCAGGCCAACTATAACTCTAAATAGACCATGATGTCCCATGTGTCCTTGAAGCAATTGATATGAAATCTGTGGATAAAAATTATTCTATTCTGTGGTCTGCCAGATTTCCGGGAGATTTGATATTCCCTCCTATGTCTAAAGATCCAGCAGAAAAAGTCTCCAGCTTAGAAAACATGTTCTAAAAATTATGCATCAGTTATTTTGACAAAGGAAAGAACATTCTAAAAGTAATCTGAATTATTTAATAGTAGAGGAAAAATCAGTTTTTTTTCTTTTTCTGATTTCTGCTTTCAACCACATAATTCTTTGACAGTGTGATTCAGTAGTTTTTGACACATCTGGAAATGGATGCTTTCTCATCCCTTTGAAAAACAGCTTTCCTAATCTGTTTTACTTTAGAGATAACAAGATCCCTCTGCGAAGCAGTTACTTTAGTAAAAAAACACCCAACAAGCATAAAGGGCACATCTAAACCTATAGACTCGCGGTTATCAACTCTCAGGTTTTTCATAAATATCCCTGTCAAGTTCAAAAACGGTCTCAGATGGAAATCCAGTATTTGGCTAAGAAAAGCACAAATATTCAGCCCTTTATGTCCGGGAACAGGCTTTTATATGTATTTGGTGCTAAAATGGCTGTGCAGGAAATACATAAATAATTTTTTGCCTTGTTTAAAGAGAATTAAAGTTGGCAGCTTTGAAGTAAGTATGATTCCGTTAGGGAAAGAAACGTAAAATCAACAGCAACAACAACAAAGTCCCACGCACGCAACAGCTACAATGCGACACCAAGCCCAAATGCCCTCTCCCTTTCAAATGGAATGGCTCCTTGAAGTAGATCAAAACGCACCATGGAGAAACACTTATGGCCCTGAGATTCACCCTCCAGATTGTGTGGCCTCTAGGATACACTGTCCACTATAGCATTTTCAACCCTGAGAATTTAGGAAGTTACAATTAATATAATAATCTACTTTCTTCCAGAATCCAGCACGCAATTTATGTACTTTGACCACCAGGTGGCAAAAGTCGCCTGAGGAAAACGCTATCCAGTTGCTTTAAAGAAAAAAAAAAAAACCTCGAAACAAAGCAAAGAGAACACCTTGGGCCGTACACCCCTCCTGACTTATTCTGACTCCACATTAACCCTGAGTGACTTCCCTGTCATTCATTTGTAGTCTCATAGGATACACTATTGCCATAAGAACTCAGGTTAACTTATTTGGCTTATTATTATTATTTTTTTTTTTTGAGAGGTAGGCTAATAGGTAAGGGTACTTAGGACAGAGAAATAGGGAATCTACCCTAGTTAGAAGAAAGGAAAACCCAAACGCAACAAAATCAGCATGAATGAGACTAGGAGTATGGCTACATCATTAGCTGCATCATGAAACATTTGTGGAACTCAGGAAGGTGCAAGGCACAGTGGAGGAAGCACTGGTTTGAAGTCAGCCCTCTGTTCAAATCCTGACTTCCTACTTGTATGCAGTTGAACAAGTTATTTAACCTTTCTACTTCTTGGTTTCCTCATCTGTAGAATTGGGGTAATAGTAACTTTGTCATAGGCTGATGTTTATGTAAGTATTTGTTAAAGTACTCAAGATATAACAGAGCAATATTAAATAAATGTTATTTTCTTCCCTCTTCTATTCATCCCAATTGCCTCCTCTACCAATCCTACTCCATTGATTACTTCCTTTTCTACCCCACTCTAAATAAATGAAAAGGGCAAAATGACCATTAGTCAATACTAACTTAACACGTATTCTCTCCTGTTATCACTTTTTAAAAGTTTTTTTTTTTTTTACCCGATTTTGGCCCATAACCACTTATTTTTAAATGTGAAATATAATACACAAAGTGCATAAAACACAAATGTTTAATACAATGACTAATTATAAGAGTAAAATCTCAGCCTTCCGGACATCCTATGTGTATCATTTAACAAGCAGAGCCTCCTTATTAAACTTCCATATTAATTATAATTGTTTGTGTATTGTTTTGAGTTTCCTACATACACAGTATTTACAAATAATGATGGTTTTATTTCTTCCTTTTTGAACCTTATGCTTTTATCTAGAAGAGAAATGTCTTGCTTGTTGGCATACACCTCTGACGCAATATTGAATACACGTGTTCATAGTGGACATTCTCCTGATCTCAAAGGGAATTATTTTAACTTTCACCTTGATATATAAGGTTTGTTGTAGTAATATAAAAAGTAATCTTTATAGTGAGGAATGTTTCTTCTCTTGATAGTTTGCTAAGATTTTTTTCATGAATTGCTACAGAATTATATTACACATGCTGTTTTTGCTCTATTGAGATGATTATATGACTTTCCTCACTAATGTGTTAATTGATAAATTATATTGATTTTACAATGTATATATTTTCCTTCTACCCCTGTTATAAATGCAACCTGTTTGTAATATATTATTATCATTTAGTATCTGCTAGATCAGTTTTCTTACATGTAGTTAGAATTTTTGCATCTATGTTTGTGAATGACTTTAATTGTAATTTAATTTAATGAATTAGTTTAACTTTCAGTTGTAGCACTATCCTTGTCAGTTTTCTTATAAAGTTTATGCTAGCTTCATAAAATGATTAGAGGAGGATATACTACTTTTCTATTTCCTGGAATAATTTTTGTTAAGATTAGAATTATTTCTTTTTTGAGTGTTTGGTATCAGTTACCAATGAGATCATTTGGGCTAAGTGTGCCCTATTTGGAAGATTTTTGATTGCTGATATAATTAATCAGATGTAAGGCTACTCAGGACTTCTATTTCTTCTTGGGTCATTATTGGTAAGTTATATTTTTCCAGTAATTGCCCATTTTATTTTCACATTTAGTCAAAGTTGTTTATATTATCTTCTGTAGAATCCGAGGGAAGTCCCTGTTCTTTATTCCTGCTATGATTTTTATTCCTGATATATTTGTATTGCTGACAGAGTTATTCATAGCTTCTTTTTTTGTGATTAACCTTACATAAAAGATTTATCAAGATTGTTAGTCTATTCAAAGAATCACATTTTCGCATTTTTGTTCTTCTAATGTTTTCATTTTCTATTTCATTGATGTAACTTTCATCTGTGTTTTCTATTTCATTGATTTAATATTTTTGTTGTTTGCTTTATTCTACTTTATTTGGATTTATTTTGTTTGTCTTTAGTTTGAGGTTGATGTTTAGTTAATTAATCTTTAGCTTCTTTTAGAAAAATATTTATTTAAAGCGATAAACTTTTCTTGGAGTACCTCTTGCATCAGCTGTATTCTATAGTTTTGATACTCAGTTTTTCATTATCATTTGGTTTGAAATATTTCCCAATTTCTATTGTAACATTTTCTTTGACCTAGGTGTTAACTTTCTTGTTTAATTTGTTAAAATAAACATATAATCTCTAAGAAGCTATGGTATAAGGGAGGCCTTAATATAGGCACATACATAATTATAAAACTGAAGGAAAATAACTAATACCATAAAGAAAATATAGATTAATTTTTTATTTTTCTTTTTAGAGATGAGGTCTTGCTATGTTGCCCAGGCTGGTCTTGAATGCCTGACCTCAAGCAATCCTCCTGCCTTGGCTTCCCAAGTGCTGGGTTTACAGGAGTGAGCCACAGCACTTCACCAGAAGTGTGGATTAATTATGACCATGGAATGCTGACAGAGGCATTTCCATATGGACACATCCAACAGGGCTTCACGGAGGTGCCAATGAATCCTAATCAGGGTCAAAAAGAGAACTCAAGGTAGAGGGGATTGTGAGGGAAAGGTACCACAGAGATTGAAAGGAGCAGGCTATGCAGAATAAATAGGCCTAATTTTGTGGGGCTAGAGTACAGAGTGAGTGAGCAACAACAAAAAGATGGAAAAAATTTGGGGAAAGGTAATTTGATACTAATGGAGAAGCAGGCCAAGGAGTTGGGTTCTATTCTGCAGGTAGTAGGGGGCCATTGAAGGTTAAAAGTAGAGAAATAAAGTAGCTATACTTCTTTAGATAGATTAATCTGACAGTGATATATGGGGTAGCTCAGTATAAATTTAGCCCAATGTCCTTCTATACTTTTGCACCTCCTAATATAACACTGTTTATAATGCTGTAGTCTACAATGAGAGTAACGGCCTGAGCCTTAAGTGGGAGAGTGGGGAAAACTGATGTTCACTGAGCATTGGTTTTGTAGCAAGCTCTGTACTGGACATTTCATTATGTTTTGCAGATAAATGTTTTTAATTTTAGCACACAATCACAATAACTGTGAAACACTAGTGAAAGTTTTAATGATGTTCACTGTACTAAATTTTCTAAGGTAAGGGTAGACTAAGAGGCATTAAGATATTTTGAACAAGTGTTGAAGTATAGAGAACTTGTGGAATAACAATATGCAGTAAGAAAGTTTAATTAACTAAATAACAAATGTAAATAATGCATCTTGAACTTTTTTTGATTTATGTCTACTAGAACAGTGTCTCACACACACATACACACACACACACACACACACACACACACTCTCTTTTACTTACCCAAAGACTCATGTTGGGGTTGAGTCTTCATGATGCTCTCCTGCTCTAACAGCTGCCTATTATCAGGTCCTGAGAGTATAGGATTATTCAAGGCAGAATGCTTCATGTTGTTAGCATCACGCTGACTAGCATCTGAAGGTTCTTGGTTGCTCTCACCATTTTGCACAGACATTGACAAATTCTTATCCACAAATATTGTTCTGTCTTTGATTTTAATATCTATTCAGTGTAAGGAACATCCATGAGATACAATATGAGAAAAACTGACAATCATAAAATACAAGAATGCGTTCTGTTCCCTCCATGCAGTATACCTGCTATCTGCTTGGCCTCTCGGGTGTTCATTTTCATGGCACATTGCTGCCTTATCTGTTTAGCAAATCTGGCAGGGTTGTCCCACGGTATGCTGAACATTTCAGAATCTGACCCACTCATCATCCCAGAAGGCTTTAGTTTCCCTTTTTCATCAACCTCAGAGAGTTTCAGGCTCTCAAAGGTAAACACCTTGAAGGCTCGTTCTACTTCATTCCAGCTCAAGACATCTGTAAGAAAGCAGAACCAGTGCTGCTGAAATGTTCTTATTAGCACATGGTATGGGGCTTACAGAGGGACAAGAAGCAGGGAGTCTGTCTACGAGAAAGACAAGGGAGTCATGCCACAATGGCTGTTGACATGATTTGAAACATTGGCTCCCCAGTCTGCAGCAAATATCAAAGGTACCTGAGGGTAAGCAAACAACACAGTAAAGATATAATTTAGCAAATTATAATGCTCCCAAACTGCTTGATAGCTTAAATCAATCTTAGGTGTCCAGATTCATTTGCATGGACTTTCCAGGGTACCATATTGGTTGAATATGCTTACACAAGTTACTGTTTTTGAGTGAAAGCATCCTTTTCTCCTGTTGTAATTTAAAAAAGAAAAATTATTTACTTGTGCTTAATATAGGTTGTTATATTTACTGAGTTTTTCTATTCATTTGGGCTCAGGAAAGGCTTCCTTCTGTGCACATAAACTGCTGCAGTATCTTCCATAATTGCCCTTCAAAGTTTATATCAGCTTTCAACAGGCTTTATAATTGTGTATTTATCTTTTTACAGCATTTATTCACTTGCTCACTCTTTCATTGGTTATTATTTTCGATGTATTAGGCTTTGTCATAAGTGTCTGGGATTTGAAATAATCAAGATTTGGTTCCTACACTTTAAAAGTTCAAGGTAGAGGGAGGAGAAGCAGAATTAACAAATGAGCATGGAATTCAATCAGAAAAAAAATGAAATGATGTGGATCAATAATTCAGAAGTAACCTCCATTGTCTCTCCAGTGAATCTGAGAAAAGCAGCAGGTCCTTTGGGAGAAAACAGGGAAATTAAGGAGAGAGGGAAGAGGTAAACAAGTTACAGAATGAAGGAGAATTTGTTCATTCATTTATTTTTCAATTTTTTTTTGAGCCCCTACTAGGTGTCACTAACTGTAATAAAAGCTGGGAACACGGTGGTGAACAAAATAGTGAGCGCCCTGCTCTCATGGAATATCCATTCTAGTGGTTGGAAACATAAATGTAAAAGACAAAAGATGATAAAAATAATATAGCCAGGTGAGGGTACAAAAAGTGGTCACAGAGGGGCTTCTAGTTTATATAACGCAGTCATGAAAAAATCCTCTCAACAATTAAGCAAAACTGTGAAGGCAGTGGGGGAGGAAGCTGCGTGGATATCTGGGGGAAAGTAACCGAGGGAGGGGAAACAGCAAGTGCAAAGATCCTGAGGCAGGGGTGTGATTGACATGTTCACAGTGAGGCCAGTGCAGATGGAGGAGACAGGAACATGGCAGCTTGACAGGTGACGGCTTAAAAAGTAGGTGGCAGACAGTTTAGGTTCTTACTGTAGTTTGTTTTTATGAGACAGGTTCACCCAAGCTGAGTGCAGGTGATTCTCCCACCTTGACTTCCCAAGCAGCTGGGTCCGCAGGCATGTGCCACCACACCTGGCTAATTTTTGTATTTTTTGTAGAGATGGAGTTTTGCTATATTGGCCAGGCTGGTCTTGAACTCCTGAGCTCAAGCGATCCACCCGCCTGGGCCTCCCAAAGTGCTGGAATTAAAGTCATGAGCCAGGCACCTGGCCCAGTTTAGGATTTATTCTGAGTGAAGTGGGTGACTGCCGTAGAGTTTTCGGTTACAAAGGCACAGGATCCAACCAACATTTTAGAGGGGCCGTTTGGGTGGTTGTGTGGATAAAAGACTGTCAGTAAAAAATGAAAGCCTGTAGACCAGCTGGAAAGCTATTGGAATAGTCCAAGTGAGGGGTGTCGAAGGACTGGGCTGGGATGGTAGTGAGGAGTGTGCAGGATTGACTGAGGAGTGTGAGAAAACAGAGACAGCAGGGATGACTCCAAGGTTTTTGGTGGAAAGTAGTTGCTACTAATTGAAATAAGGGAGATGGTGAAGGGATAAATTTAGGAGTGCGGAATCAAGAGGGTGGTTTTGAACCTGTTACATATGATGTGGCAAAAGCAAAGAGAGGAGGAGGGGAGGAACACCAAGGGTCTAGGACCGGCCATGTAAGCAGCATATGTGTGAGGTTTTGCTGGTGGCAGCAGGAACAAAAATCCTGTGCGGTGTGGAGAGCTGAGCTGAAGGGAGAACAGAATCATGTCTTAAGGCGGAAGGAGAAGTGGAGAGTGGCAGGACACAGAAAAATGACAGAAGTTCACCCCCTTCTCAGGAAGCAGGTAGTTAGGTACACAACAGCAATGCCATACCAGGCCCTCTAGGCTGCGCCCTGTGTGTCCACGGGTCAATGGTAGGACAGTGTTCAACAGTTCCTGGCTTTTTCTATGACTAAGCCTACTTAAAAGTGAAAAAAGAAATCAAGATAAAAATATTTGGTGGTTTGGTTAGACTTACGAATGAGATGGTAAGGAATAATATGCGTATGCTCTTTTCTTTTCTAGGTCAAATGCTTCCTTGTCAAATAAAGATGTCTGTGTAATTTAATGTCCTTTCTTATAAGTAGAAATGTATCTGCATATTCCCTCAAGTGGGAAAGAGAATTTACTTTGGAAAATGACTGTCTCGATCACAAAATCCCAGTCAACTCAGAAGAGACGTGATTCCAGATATTATATCTGAACGACCCCTCTTCCCACTGTCCTGAAAGAGCATAAAATGGCTCTTCCTGCTGTGAGAAGGTGTTAACTTGAAGCAACTCCTGCTCAGCAACATGCCAACAGTGGGCTCTCTCTTCACCTTTTACCCCTAGGTATAGAGCAGGTGCTTAAAATTGCAGATTGCACCATCAGACATCTGCAGTGGCTTTCTTCCTGTCTCTTGCTCAGTAAGGTAGGGAATGTGGTTCTACTGGGTATCCAGAGACCAGAAGAATTTTTTTTCTTGTTTTTCCCACCATTGTTATAATCCTAAAACAAATAATTTAACCCTGCCAGGATCTCAGCCTTCTTCTCTAAAAATGGATTTCGACTAAACTAATTCTAAGGTTTCTTTCAGTTTGGAAATTTTATGGTTCTATGATTCATCTTTCTTCATAAAAAGTTAATTCCTGGATTTGAATAGTGTGCTCAGAATTTTCTCTCAAGATAGGATTAAACATGAGCTTCTAGTAGCACAGGTTACAAGAGATCTACATCTGCCTCCCAAGTCGCACGCTTTCTTATTTCCTTCCTGTCCTCACGTACAGAGATGGTCCACGGTAGTGCTCACATTAGTTTTACCCCGGTGAACATTCCTGCCAAATTCAGATTATCTCAATCTTCTCCTTTTTTTTTTTTTCTGCTGTAATAAAAAAAGAAAAAACTGTGAAGGGACAGAGTGGGAAGAGACAGAAGAAAACTCATTCTGGGACCTGTTTTTTATTGATTGTGGGTAGCTGAAACAAGAGGGTGTAAGATGAAAATTAAAAGACAGGGATCACTGAATTCGAGCAAAGTTGCATGGTTCAGGTTGCTCTTCTCTCTTTCCAGAAAATGTCTCTGCAATGTTACTGTAATGTTTACATGATTTGTAATGATGATAAAGGAGTGTAGTGGTCAGGCAGAAGAGGGAAGGACAGCATTGTCCTGGGAATTACACACACACACACACACACACACACACACACACACACACACACACACCTTTACTTCTCTGTAAGTAGGATGGGATTACAATGGGAGTAGTTGGGACACAGATGGGGAAAAGGAGGAAAAAAAGAATGACTGTGGTTAAGAAAATGAAATAGGAAAAAAATCCCAGTACATAAAATTGAAGAGTGTTATGCATTATAGCTAATGATAACACTGCAGATAACATTATTCAAATAAGGAAGTTGCAGTCAATCAAAATACCCACCTTAGCCTCTGAAAGGTCTTTAAATAATGAAAATACTTTTTGTAAATAAGGGTGCAATTTTAAGAGGCATATTTGACCATTAATTAAATTGAGTTGAAGCTAAGACAAAGCGATGGACTTACCACTCGTACAAAAGTGCATGAGCTCATGAATTGTTGCTAGACGCTTAGTGTTGTTCCACGGTGGGGGCAGAGGGAATTGAAGGAATTCCCACAGTGGCAACTTGGACTGCATCTCCTGCTCAATTTGAACTGGATCAAAATTCTTTTGGTCCTGATGAAAAAGAGCAACATGACAGAAGACATTAAAGTAAGCTGTCAAGTGCCTTATGCATATGGAGAAGGCTAAACATGATACCTTCACTCTCATTATTTGGGAACAGAGGAAATCAATGGTAATTGGGAAAGACAAACTTTTGGTATTTTGCTGAAGGTCAAAAAGCTAGTTCCTACGTTGCCAGGAGTTCCTGGTGCACAGAAATGACTGATTCTTCATTCACAGTGACAAACTGCCAAAGTCTCATATGTATTCATCTCTCCCTCTTGAGATCCTTTTCCGGCTTCTACTAGTTTTTCATAGCAGCAGTTATTTAAAGCAAATAATTATAAGGTTTTAATGCAAATTTAGTGGTGGTAACAATTAACTGAATTGTTAATCAGACCTCTATGATCAGGCAAATTTCCTAGGCTGACATCATTCTTCCCTGTATCTAGGTCCATTTTCTAGGGTCCTATTTTGTATGCAAGTGTCTATTTTGTATATTACATTTTAATCAGTGTTGGTGAAGTTATCTAATTAGCTTCTTTAAACTGAATGGTTGTAAACACACTTTCCCACACTGGTTTTCCTTGTGGCAACCTGATTATTGTTACCTTTAGTGCATACTTCTTGTGGGCGTGTGCATCATGATAATTCAGTAGAAGGGGGCCTTTGGGCACAGCTTTGCTTTCACTTTCTTCTTCAGATAAAAATGCTTCATGAAGATTCTATGCAAATTGAAATAATATTGATTTAAAGAAAGAATTCATACTTTTCCAAAGCATGAAGACTCTGCTATCTCAGGCTATCTGACCTTTTTCTCCCTCTCCGAGAGATAGAGTGAGGGCAGCAGGGATACGATGTGAGCTGCGATTCTGTGGTCTAGCCCGTCTGCTCTGGGGGGTGGCTCCTGCAGACTGGGTGGGACAAGGTCTTCTTCAGTTGCCACAACCTGTTGAGATCAACAATGAGGGGAACTGGTGTAAGGGTCCGCTCTTTAGTGATACTCACGGCTCACTGCTACATTCCCACTGCTTAGTAAGAACCAGTCCATTTCCGTGACCCAAGTACCACTGATGATACAAAATGGCAGGAAACTATCAGTGATCACCAAATAAAAGTGTTTGCAATCCATGCATTAAAGTAGATATAAATTTAATACTATTAAAATTGCTAACATAAAAAATGGTAAACAAACTTGATAAAAATATTTTATAAAGATTCTATTCAAATAGAATAATAACATATTTTTCTTAATATTTACTCTTTGTCTTAAAGCAGCGGAAAGAATGCTCATACAACTTTGGATTCATGAAATATTTATTGAATGTCTACCACAGGCCAGGTACTATGTAACACATCTTCACATGTGATCATTTAAGACTCACAGCAATCTTGTGGGGGTAGATACTATTTCCCATTGTATAGAGGAAAAAACTAGGGTGACTGGCCAAAGCTCAGGGATACCAAGTGGAAGAAATGGGGGTTCAGGCCAAACCCTCATTCTTTCTTCAAAAATACAAAAGTTATTACGTTATAAGATCAGTAAATGGAATAGTGTCTTCTTTGTGTGGGGAAAGTGAGATGTAGAAAGATTAAGAGCCTTGTTCAATTTTACATGGAAAACAAGTTAAAGAGGTTGAAACATAATCAAGTTTGGCATCCAATTTACAGCTTTTCCCTTTACCCTATATCCTATAACCGTCCTCTATGATTTCATTTCCCTCTACAAGTTTCCTCAGCCTTGGCATTAATGACATTTTGGCCTAGATAATTACTTGTTGTGGGGGGCTGTCCTGTGCACTATAGGATATTTAGCAGCGTCCCTGGGGTCTACCTGTTTTATGCAAGTAGTAACCTTCCAGTTGTGACAACCAAATATATCTCCAGACATATGTCTTGGAACAAAATCACCTCCTGTTGAGAACCACTGCTCTGGAATAACAAACTTTTATCCTATTCTTTACCTTGTCGAAACACCCTACTGTTGGAAGAGCAACTCACTGTTTCCACCTTCTATCCTCTGAACATTTCTTGGACCCACTTCAATCATGAAAGATCACTCAAAACTGTTCCTTCTCTGAAATGTTCAGTTCTAGCATCCCATCCTGTAAAGTGCCATCCCATCGCTCCCATATTTCAGTGTTTTCATCCTCTTATTATTATTAAGCATTCATTCATTCAGCATGGATCTACTGGGTGCCTTCTATTTATTAGGCACTGAGCTCATTAACTGTCTCCTTGGGTACCTGGAACACAGTAGATGGTTAATACATGTTTGTTGCTTTAAGTTTAGTAGAATAAAACAAGACTAAGATAAATAAGATAATGATACTGTAAGCTCTATAGGGCTTTTGTACTTTTATGCATTTATTGATATAATAAAACTATTGATCTTCTAAAAACTTCCTGGAGCAATTGAAGGCAAATATTACTGCGGTCATCTAATTGGTTGGAAAACTAAGGCAGTCAAAAACCAGAAAAATGTATATGGAAGGTAACAGAGATGACAGAGTCTAAAAAGCACTTTAAAATAAATCTTTTATGTATTAAGAGAAAAAAATGTGTCACATCCATGAACCAAGAACAAGAACAGACAATGGAAAAAAAATAGAGAATTTATAAGTTAAAAACATTACTGCCAAAACCAAACTTCAAAAGCAGATTGGACTCCCTGAGGAAAGCTGAAGGAAGTGAAGCTGGAATTCCCAAAGGAAGAGAATTTAAAGAAAACTTAAAAGACAAAGAGGAAAACCCTGAAGCTCGAACGTCCATTCAATAATAATTAAGGTAAATTGATAGGAAAAACGATATTTGAAAATGGAAGATTTTCTCAGAATCTTCTCAGTTTAACAGATACATATTTAGTGTCCACTATGGGTTAGGTATGGTTATTGTGTGCTGAGCATACAGCAATGAACAAGATTATATTGTTACTGCTTGCATGGAGATTATATTCTCGTAGGAGGAGGGGAAAGGTAAGAAGAAACAGTTGATAAATATACTGCAAAAAGAAAAGCTGTTGATACGAAAATAATATGATATGACAGAGACTGCTGTGTATTGTGGGGGGAGAGGGTTCTTCAGATCAGGTGGTCAGAGAAGGCCACTCTAAGGAATGACACTTCCACCAGGGACTCTCCTGAAAGAGAGAAAGCTTTCTAGGTAAAGAAGGTAGAGTAAAAGGTTAACGTGGAATTAAGTAACATATTTGAGGAAAAACCAGAAGGCCTATGTACATGATGAAGTGTGTGTGTGTGTGTGTGTGTGTGTGTGTGTGTGAGGTGGAAGGCAGGAGGTGAGATGACAGGTACATCTCAGAGCCTTATTTTTAGGTCCTTTATGGGACAGTGTAAAGAATTTTTATTTCACACAGAATGTGACTGGAAATCAGATTTTAATTTCCTTGCACCATAATGACAAATATAATAAAACAAAATCACACCTAGACATAGTCTGTGTTATCAATTATAAAGAGGAAACCCAAACAGCTGCTACAAAGAAAAATAAAGATTATCTGCAAAGAAAAAATTATTAGATTGACATTGGACTTCTTATCACCAACATTAAAAGAAAGATGACAATGAAGACATCCCATCCAAATACTTTTCTATGTAGATCCACTAGGTTTTAATTCATTTCTGATACTTTCTACTTGAACAAACTCGAAAAACATTTTGTGCCTCAGTTTCCTGATCTGTAAAATGGGTGCTATGGTCTCCACCTTAAACTTATTTCAAATTGTAATCCCCACGTGTGGAGGGAGAAAGGTGATTGGGGAATGGGGGTGGTTTCCCCCATGCTGTTCTTAAGATAACGAGTGAATTTTCATGAGACCTGATGGTTTTAAAAGTGGTAGTTTTTTCCTGCTGCCTGGTGAAGAAGGTGTCTGCTTGCCCGTTTACTATGACTGTAAGTTTCCTGAGGTCTCTCCAGTTATGCGGATCCTCCTTTGTTTATAAATTACCCAGTCTCTGTACTATCTTTATAGCATTGTGAAAATGGACTAATACATTGGGGGATAAAAATACTTCCTGCTTCACAGGATTGTTCTGAGGATTACACCAGTTAACATGTTGAAAGCATTTAGAACAGTGCCAGGTGTCTACATATATGCTACATAAGTGCTACATATATGCTACTAGTATGAATAAGAAACTCTTTCAGATATACATAGAACGTTCACAAGAACTGACCATTTACATCAGGTCACAGAGGAAGCCTCAGGAAATTTTAACTAGTTAATTTGCAGAACACGTCTACTGATCCTAATGTAAAAATATTAGAAATCATCACTGAGTAATGGAAATCAAAATAATTCATGGGTTAAACATGTAAATAAATAAAAGACTTAGAACTGAATACACGGAAAGCATCAGGATGCAAAGAAACACTCAAAAAGAAATGGACAGCCTTAAATAAAGCAAAAAGACTAAAAACAAATGAAGTAAGCTTTCACTTTTAAAATAAAATACAAAATAAATCCAAAGAAAGTAGAAAGATGGGAACAAGCAAGAGATGAGCCAGACACAATGGCTCATGATTGTACTCCCAGTGCTTTGGGAGGCTGAGGTGGGAGGATCACTTGAGGCCACGAGTTCAAGACCATACTAGGCAACATGGTGAGACCTTGTCTCTACAAAAAAAATAAAAATAAAAATAAATTCTTTTAAATTAACTGGGCATGATGGTGCATGCCTGTAGTTCTAGATACTCAGGAGGCTGAGGTGGGAGGAACATTTGAGCCCAGGAGTTTGAGATTGGGTGAACTATGATTGTGCTACTGTTCTCCAGCCTAGGAGACAAAGAAAGACCCTGTCTTTAAAATAATTAAATAAATAACAAATACATAAATAAATAGATGAAAGAATCAATGAAGAGATTAATAAAATAAAAAGTAAAAAGGTGTTGATCAAGGAAACAAAATGCTGGTTCTTTGAAAAGACCAAACAATAGCTATGCCCTTAACAACCATGATCAAGAAAAGGAAGGGACAAATAAATAACATCAGTCACGAGACAAGGTACATAACCAGAGACAGAGGCAATTTTAAAACATATTTAAGTGAATAGTGTAAAGAACATTGTATCAGATTTAAAACTCCAGTAAAATGGACATGTTTATGAAGAAAAAAACTGATGACAAAAATTGGCCTTGGAAGTAGAAAAATCTAGCTAAATCTACAAGCATAAAAGAAATTTTAAAGACAAAGACTATTAACCACCCCACCCACTTGTCCATGTCCTCTTACTGTTCTAGTAAAATGACACCAGACACAAGAGTATTGAGGATATGTTGTGCTAAAACTTCAGGGAATGTTACGTAAATGGCTCCGGAGTATAGCAAAAGAAAGAGGATTGAAGCTGAAGATTAAAGCAGACTTCAGTTCCATCTGAAACATTCTAATGTCTATAAAGGAGAATGGATTTAGGTATTCTGAGAATAGTTTTAAAATAGTGTGAATACAAACAAAGGCCAGGAGAGATAAACGACTTACTCAAGTATACAATCTGGGAGAAAAACCTCAGAGTACACCCACCTGTTCCAGCATACAGTGCAGTATCAGGGGCACAGAAATGAATTCCTCTGGAATCGGATTCAGCAAATCATTGTAGTATCTCATGTCTACTTCAGTTGTGATGACGGAAGTCACTAAAATATCAAAAATACCAATGCCCAATGAAGATGTGTTCTCCATTATTCTCATTAACATTTTATGCATAATTTTAAATTATGACTATGCAATAATAAATGCGGGAACTCTGGGTGAAGGGAGGCTGAAAGCAGTATGGAGGACAGTCCTTGTCTCTTAAAGCGCCAGCTCGTGGCGTTGGTCCTCCAGCAGCTGGTTTCATACATGCCTGGTGGTGGAGCTTGCGGTTCTTCAGACTGTGTTTTCTTCTTTCCAGGGGATGCTACAACAAGTTGTAGAGCCTAGAAAAAGAGTAATTAAAAAGAAACAACTGAGATACCCAGCTGATACCCCTATCACATTTTCCATTAGGCACTTCATACTCATCTTTCCCCACATCCCTAATCCTGGCTCAGTTTTCCTGACTTCCCTCTCTTGGCCCTACTCCTCTCCAGATCAGGTGACCAGGTTTATTTCTTCTACTGCAAGCTGAGCTGACTGCTTTCAGCATTCATCATGCTATGCTGGAATCATCGTTGACCTGACTGCCATCCTTTTTAAAAGTTAACCTTAATGAGGAGAACGGGAATGAATTTTCATTATTGTATTGCCAGCATCTTGCACAGCGCTAGCACATAGCCAGGTGCTAAATAAATATTTTAATTACTTTATCAATATCCTTCCTGTCACAGATGTTATTCATTGTACTGAGTGCTGACAAGAGGGTTCCATCCTTGACTTTGCAAGTGTCATGTAGTTGAGGAGCTCCATAAAGCCCCCATCATGTAGCTATCTTTAATGCCAGTAGGCAGTATGACCTTAATCCAAGTATTTATGTAACTTTTTCTTCATATGCCTTATAAATATGAAAATAAAATTGCTCAGTTAATAATTTATCCCACTAAAGACACTGAATCCATGCCTACCTCCAAAGTTGGCATGGCTTCGAATACAGGTTTCTCATTAACCACTTGTGGAACATTAATAAGCTGCATGCTTTCCAAATAGTGCTGGTGCTGCCTTTTCCAATCCAGGATGTCATACATCAAACAGGCAATATTTTCAAAAATATCAGTGCCCAATTTCAGCTACAAGTGAGAGATTTAATGACAAGTGGTTACTAGTTTTATAGTTTTGGAATCAGATACACAGTTTTTATCTCTTAATAAAGAGATAAAAGGATAACAATAATTTGTTATCCTTAGTTTCTTTATTAGATACTAAGGATACTTAGATATCTTAGTATCTCAATTCCTAAAACATGTCAGGTAACTTTAATATCCTCAGCCAATGACAAGCCATAGATGATTTCTTACCTGGCTATGCAAGGAGCACAATGGAAACACTGACTCAGCTTTGTGGATCATCTACCCAAGTACGTTGCATCTACACAAGCATGTGGGCAATCAGTATTTCTTCTTTTCTTCCAAGCTTCACTTCTTTTGTTTCACCTGTTCTACCTTTAGGGCAAAACACTAAGAAATCCTAATAGACTATTGCTTCTATAGTACCCACAAGTTTTACGAGCTGGCAAGCAAGCTGTCGCTCAGATACCTTGATTACTTGGGCTTTTGTTTCCAGAAGTAGGAAAGCATCGTGATGGCTGGGTCTGTCTGCCTGGAAGCAAAGAAGGATAAAATAGGCTCATTCTATGCCTGAGTCCAAGAAGTAAGGTGGTATGAGACGGTTCGTTGTATGCAGAAGTCCAGCGACGTGCACAACTCTGTCAGTCACTATGGTACACCCGGTTGGCTGGCTTCCCATTCCCACACTAAGGCTGAGGCCTCTTCAGTCAAGCTTCAGTCTGGTGTTGCTTGCCCAAATTCTGGCATAGAAATATGTTTTTGTTTTTGCTTTTTATTTCTAGGAAATATAGTAAAGCTTTTGCCCAGTGATATTTTAGCTTAACATAGTTTATTCATGTTAAAATCAAACAGCAAATCACATGCTAAGGATAACAAATTATTTCAGCAAAAAGGGTCTTATTTTAAAATTTTTCCAAAGAGGGCCTTAATTTGAAATGATGCTGATGTCTTCCATGGGCAATTATCATGGCTTGAAGGGCATTTATTTGATGTAAAGCTTTTGTTACCTTGGTTCAACAGAAATATAGCCTGCTTGTTTGCAGCTAAAGGCTGCAAATGCTTTCCTCCATTCAAAGGGGAAGAGGGCTCCTTGGTTGGATACGATCTTGGATATGAAGCCATTAACAATTTACAGATACCACTTAAAGTGTGACACTGTATATTTGATCTGCTTCTACTAGGGGTAGATTTATCATTTTCATGCTTATTAAATGATCCTGTTTAAAATGAACTTTGACCTTACCTATTAAATTCAATGGCCTTTTCTTCTAGAATCCAACTTAATGACTGAACCATCTTCAAGGCTTTCCTTCCCTCTCATCCTCAATGCTGAGTGCTTCCCTCACAAACCATATCTTAGAGAGGCACGCATGGGCTTTAAAAGATTAGTATAGTTGTACCCATCTTATACCATAGCCCTGGTATAAGATGATATTCAATAAATACCTGCAAATTGACTAATAGATCAGTCTGGCAAGCTGGAAAACGCAGCCCTAATTGGCTTTGTAGAGACCTGAATATTTTCATTGTTGACAGTTACCTTCATGGCCTAGCTAGAGACCTTTTACATTAATGTTCCACTTCTGAAGTCAGGAATGCTCTACCATAACTAGACTGGTAATATTTTTCCACATAAAAGATTTTTTCTGAACTTTAATTGCCATTTAAACTCTTCCATTCTGTATTTTTTTTTTTAAGTAAAATATAGCCACTACCACTTTCTTTAAAAGGAAGTGATTAAAATCCGGTGAATAGGAAATCGCGGACCATGCAGTAGGAAGCAGAGTGCTAGAAATGGTGCTTGGTCTTTTGAAGTTGCCATTGTATACCACAGTGTTTACATTTGTGTTCTGATGATGCAGTGGAGTGTACATGATTTTAGACTCAATGCATTTCAGCTTTATTCCGCCTGTGCCTGGAAAGTAAAGAAGATACACAGAAGGGAGCCCTTGCTAGAGACGGAGCAAAAGGTACTTGGCTTGAGGCTGCTTTACAAGTAGGCTTTTCTGAGTGAACTATGGTTCAGGGATTATAAGGCTGGGATCTCCTGTGCCCTGTTGAGCTAAAAATGTACACAAGTTCTTGATAGGGTATGTAGCCAGGGCTGGGCCCAAATGAGAGGAGCAGTGTTTCTCCAAAATTTAAATTTGTGGATGTGGGTTTTATTAACCACAGATTTTACATACTTGGAGAACAGCTGGTCTGTGAAAGAGAGAGTAAGAAGCTGGGTTTGAAGTGGGATTTCAGGATCCCAAGGAAATATCCCTCTTCCCCCAATATATGTCCCTCTTTCTCCAATATATATCCCATTTTTTTAGTATAATCTGGAATTTCAATAAAATAGGATGGAATGTTCATATGTTACTTGGAATGCCAAGATCTCTGGGATAGGGAAACATACTGACCCAAGGCAACACAAAATAGTAAAGGACAGAGGACAGTGGGTCCTTCTCTGAGCTCAGGTTTAGGAGGTAGGAGAGTGAAAGACAAAGCAGGAAAGCTGAACATATCTAGATAAAGGGGTACGGAGGGGCAAGAACAAAGGGAGTTTGGAGTCTCCAGTCTTTCCCAGAACTAACTGTACCTTCTATGACAGCTTTTCTATGTTCGGTTTCATTTTCCATGCGAAGAACAAGGCTGAGATTCATCAGGATATCAGACTTAAGTGTGGTATTTCTACATAGTGACATCTAACGCCTTGTGTTGAGTCCTTACAACTCAAACCAATCTCTCCATTACTACTTATTCAAAGTCCTGCCCATCCTTCAGGGTTCAAGTCTGGCCACCCTCCTCAGCATTTTCACTTCCTTCACGAAATGCACGTCCATCTCAAGGTAACAGAATCGGGGACACTCAGAGTCAGAAGCGTCCATGCCCCATAGGCTACCCTCTGCTGCAGAACCAGTTCCAGGCTTTGATCTCACTCTTCTTTTAGACAGTCAGATTTTATTTTCTTGTCAGCTACCCACAGTGACCGTGCAAACACCCATCCACCCTCCACACTCCACTTTGCCCAGACTTTTTCAGAGCACTCACTTGATGTGGTCCATCTCTAGGACTCTGCTTTCATTTCAGCTCCCTTAATGCTAAAATATATCGTCCCATAGGGTATTCAACACTCCCAGGCCCCCGTCAGTTGGGTTAAGAACTAGGGTCATCTAGAAAGAGACCTGAGAGATTTTCTCTAACAGAGGGATGCCTGAATACTTTCCACATCTTTGATAAGTAGTCATTTGACCTTTTTTTTTTTGGTTAGAAAGCCATCATGCGTCTGTCATTCACTACTTTTCAAATCATCTCATTTCTTCTTTGTCTGAATTAGTAGGAAACTTAGAATGTGTTTCATATAACTGAGCACCTAGATATGTGGGCTCTTGACCACTGACTGCTTCTCTGCTTTGCAATTTTAGCCTTGTCTCTCTGCATGCTCATCAATAGCAGGGATCAGTAAGCACCATTATTGGGAAATGCCTGATAACTACAGGGACAAGGTCAAGTCGTCCTATTAGGATAGACCCTGGCCAAATAGATTAAAAATAAGATTTTGGGGCCAAACACGGTGGCTCATGCCTTAATCCTAGCACTTTGGGAGGCCAAGGCAGGGGGATCACCTGAGGTCAGGAGTTCAAGACCAGCCTGGCCAACATGGCGAAGCCCTGTCTCTACTAAAAATACAAAAATTAGCTGGGCATGGTGGCACCTGCCTATAGTCCCAGCTATATGGGAGGCTGAGGCAGGAGAAACACTTGAACCCAAGAGGCGGAAGTTGCAGTGAGATCACACCATTGCACTTCAGCCTGGGTGACAGAGCAAGACTCCGTCTCAAAAAAAAAAAAAAAAGATTTTGGAAATAAAAGCAAGGGCTTAGAAAAGCAATATGTGAACTGAAACATAAAAAGACAGACATGTAATTCAACAGACTATAAAATTTACTATTATAAGATTAATACATATTAAGATTCTAATTACTGTCTAGGACATTGTTAAGTTATAAAACAAAGCCATGTGGTCACCAAATAAAAGAATCATCACCCTTTTGTTCCTCATCTTCTACATCTTATTATTTGTTGTTAATTCACACACTAAAAGCTAATGAATCAGACTATAACCATCATTAAGCATTCAATATTATCATTATCCTGAAGACAAAAGAGCCGAGCTCAAAGCCTTGTAGTCAGCGCTCAGTAACTATCTATGCAATGAATAAACGGAGCAAATAGAACCATTGTGTCACATGTTAAAACCATGCACTCTAACTAATGTGTGTACTAACCATTTTCTCGCTGTCTGACCAGTCAGAAGGAAAATCAGCTGCTTTGACCATGTATTCAAGTCGAGCAACATCAAAGAGATTTGTTTCAGGTTTCTCATTATTCAGGACTGGTTCCAAATACTTCCAGAAAGTCTGAAGTTCTTTAATGGTATTTTCTCTCTTCAATTCTTCTTCTTCTAGATCTAATAATAGCAACATATTTATATTACAAAATGAGAGTGTTAAATGTTGTCTCACTTTAAGTGGACATGGTGAGTCATACGCATTGCAAGATATCTTTACAGTACCAGAAAATGTAAACAAAAAAATGTAATTTTGATACGTTTTTGAAGTTGGACTATACAATTATGAAATCAGAGAACTTTACTTCTGAAGTTGATATTAAATATGCATTTATATCATACTTTTGTTTTATAGTTGAGGCCCAGAAAGATTATGATGAGGTCACACATTTTGGGAGCTAAATATGTTCAAGATTTCCATCACTCTTAGATTACAGTCTACATAGGACCAATTTTTCTGCCAAATCACTTTTTTAATCATCTTAGTGTCTGCTACATAACTGATTAGAGATGGAGTTTGTCTGGTTCTTCTTCTCATATGGCTAATAACAGAGTGGATTGGGGCTGAGCGTGGTGGCTCACACCTGTAATCACAGCACTCTGGGAGGCCGAAGTGGGTGAATCACCTGAGGTCAGGAGTTCAAGACCAGCCTGGCCAACATGGTGAAAGCCCATCTCTACTAAAAATACAAAAAATTAGCCAGGCATGGTGGCATGTGCCTGTAGTCCCAGCTACTTGGGAGGCTGAAGCAGGAGACTCACTGGAACCCAGGAGGTGGAAGTTGCAGTGAGCCAAGTTTGTACCACTGCACTCCAGGCCTGGGAGGCAGAGTGAGACTCTGTTTCAAAAAAAAAAAAAACAAAACTCAGGGTGGATCAATGTTGTGTGGTTAACTTTTGGTTACCTTAAATAGCAAGAGGCTTCTCTAGGTATTTGTACTTTTACTGTATAATAATGATGGAATTCCACAAAATTATGCTTAAAAATTTGCATCAAATATTTATGCTTATTACATCTATAATTAAATAGTAGTTTCTATTACTAAGATGTTATTATTCTATTATAAAGTCTATTTTTCTATTATTTTATTTTTGTATATTAAATATTTTTGTGAGAGACTGTGTTTGGAGCTTATGCAGCATTTTCTCAGTGCCTTTAATAATAAATCATTTAATGTTATAACTAGCCTTTGAGATAATCAGGAATAGCCTGGGTTTGAATCTCAACTTTTTTACTTAACAGCTGCCTCTAGACTGAGAGTCCATTTTTGTCACCTATCCAAGTACTAACCAGGCCCGACCCTGCTTAGCTTCCGCGATCAGACAAGATCAGGCATGTTCAGGGTGGTATGACTGTAGATGACTGAGAGTCAGTTTTTGTAATATGGAAACAATAAAACATAATTCCTAGACTTGTTGCGAAAACCACATGAATCAATGTACTTAACGCCCTTAACATTGAGCCTAGTCCCAAGACGTGGCCAATATATGAGAGCATTTAGTATTATCAAGGGTAGCTATTCCTAACTTTGCGCAGCAATTTAAAAATATAGTGTTATAAAAATTGGGATGTGGCTGTGTAAGATACAAAGCACTGTGCAAATGATATTACTAATAAATAACAATAAAAGCAACAGCATATGGCAGAAAAAAGCTTGGGTATCTGGTAATGCAATCTTACACCAAATTCTAGTTCTATTTCCTAAAGTATACAGTGGCCTTTTGCTCCCCTTCCACAGAAGTCATCTAGGATAATCTTCTTAGACAAAGATCTCAAGGCTCAAAATGGCTAAATGGTAGCAAGGTTGGAATTTCATCCTACAACTTCCTATCTAAGGCTAGGAAGATACAGCACCCCTGCGATTTCTCGCAATAAGCCAATAGCAGAACAGGGCAAGAATCTGAGGCCGTGACCTCCCTTGGACTACCTGGTGATTGTGGCTTCTGCAAGAACAGATTATGAACAGCGATTCATTCAGCCCATGCTTTAGGTAAAAGTTATCAATCAAATGCTCCAGAGAAAGGTAGTTGGATAACCAAGTCTTCTGACCTGCAATCGGTTTTCTGTGACTTCACAGGGCTATAAACACAGGGTATAATTTTAATTTGCAAAATTTACAACACTTGGCTAGTGTAAGCAGAGTAAATAGCAAACCAAAGTCTTGAAAAGATATAATAATGTATGAACTGTATGACTATGTTTTGGACAGAAAATTACATTTGTACTTTAAGGACAGTGGATAATATTGAAGGACTCAGTAAGTTGTGTAGCAGACTGCATACCTTCAGGCTGAAGAAGAACTTCCTGCTGTTGGTTAACTTCTGCCAAGTGCGTCTGCAGAGGTTCATAATTCTCTGAAGATATTTTAATCACGCTGGTTATAGGAATGCCAAGTTCAGCCATAATTGCTAATAGCTGAGGATTGTTGAAGCCCACAACTATAATGTAATGTTGGGCACCATCATCTGGCTCATCGTCTGTTCAAAATACCATAAAGAAAAGCAGCCATCATTGGAAAAGAGAGGAGGTTGCACTCAGCCAGTTCAATGGCTATATACATTATGCATGCATTTATAATCCCTCTGCCTTGCCAAAAATGATCCAGTTGCTAGGAATGCAGTCCTGTTGTCTGTTTTTCATTATTGCCCTTTGAGCAATATTTTACAAAATATTAAATCACTTTTGCAAATGAAACATAGGCATAATAGAAGGACAAACATATATGGGGCTTGTGGTCACAGAAAATGTGTGCCTGGGTTTTTGTTAAGAGTTTAGCCTGTAACTTTTTGGGTTCTAATCTCTTTTGAGCAACATCTGGCTTTACTCCTGAATTACAAGTAGCTGCAGCTTTGTGGTATTTTATAAGCAGAGGTGTTTACAGGAGAGGGAAATATTGAATATGGACGTGCTCCCTTAAAAAGTATTGTATGCACTTATGCCAATGGGTGTGAATCCCAAGTATGGATTATGTAGCAACTATGTATTTATTGCATTAAAAATTTAAAGTACATATTGTGTACGTTCCTAACATTTTTGTCCTTCATTTTGCCCTGGCTATACTGTTTTATTAATATTAAAACATGAGTTTATTTTAGAATGTGACATTCTGGAGGGTGAGAATAATTGTTATACTTTAATACTGATAGTACACAGTACACAAAAGCATTACATTTCATGAAAGCCCATTAAGATTAATATATAAATAGTGCAACAGAGGCACAACTTTTCATTTTTAAATAATGACTTTTCTTCTTTCACTAAACTAATCAATGTTGATACTGCCCATGGACTTCATAATATCACTGCTTCCAAGACCAGCGGATTTAGAGCAGAGACACATGAGGGTAGTCAACTGGGAAAGGATGGGAAAGCCCTCTGCTATCTCATTTAAATATGCATACAACAACAAGAAGCTCATTTGGGTTCAGGGGAAGGCAGGAATGAATGACTTATAGCGGCCTAGGATGAATCATTTTATATTAATAAACTAAAATGAAAGAAAAATTCTAGTGTCTCTATCTAGGGTGAAATGATGGTGGGGGAATTGGGGTCAAGAGACCATGCACTCTATGTGAGTCACCAAATTAACTAGTCTGATTTTATTACCACTGTGTTTCACTCATGACCATAATCACTTTTTATTTTCCTTTATAATTATGTCTGACTTTCCTATATGTGACCAACAAGATAGTCAGCTCCTTGGTGGCACAGTCAACTGGCTACCTCAGCCTTTATTTATATGTGTACATGTGCCTGGTAAGACATATGCTTAATAAATACTTGTTTAAGAGAGCCAGGTGTAGTGGCTGATGCCTGTAATCTCAGCACTTTGGGAGGCTGAGGAGGGAGGGTCACTTGAGGCCAGGAGTTCAAGACCACTCTGGGCAACATAGTGAGATCTTATCTCTACAATATAAATTAATAAGTAAATGAGCCGGGCATGGTTGTGTGCCTGCAGTCCCAGCTACTGGGGAGGCTGAGGTAGAAGGATGGCTTGAGCCTGGGAGTTTGAAGCTGCAGTAAGCTATGATCATGCCACTATACTCTAGCCTGAGTGACAGAGGAAGACGCTGTCTCAAGAAAAATTTGCTTCCAAACATAAATGAATTGCAAATAGAAATATTTTTCTCTCAGGGTGTCATGGGAGTCAGTGATTTATGGTTTTGTGAAGAGTGAAAAGGCTGGGAAGGACTAAGCAGAGTTACTGGAAGGGCTGCTCCAATTGCACCACAGGTCGTGAGGCAGGAAGTGAAAGGCACTGCCAGCAGCTGTGCCTTACTGACCAATGTAACATCTGGCGTCATCGTCTTCTCCTCTCCGCTTTAACTGGGTGGCCTTTTTCACTGCCGCGCTGGCCTCCGGCTGATCCTTTCCCTTTCCTTTGGCAGGCTTCGCACCTGCAGCCTTCTTCTCCTTGGGAGATTTTGCTTTCCCTTTATCCTTTTCTAACTTCAGTTTGTCTTCTATTACCTGGAATGAGAGAATACTTTTTTCTCCAAATCAAATAGCGAGAAAGCAATGGCTGTTCTACTGCCAGGTGCATTAATTCTTCATCTCATTCAATCACTCATGTACTCTTTATTTTTTATGTGTTCATCTGTAAATCAGGATAATGGAAATTCCAACTTGAGACTAAGTTGTGATAAGGCACATTTATGCACGAGGACTGGCAGGGTGTTTTCCAGAAAGCTGGTTACACAGAGACTTCTGGAAGAAAATCAGTCCTAAGGGAGAGCCAAGTGTGGCCCAAGAAGCCACCCCAGTAGTTTGAAGGCAGGGTGGAAAGATAATTGAGAATATATAATGCTGTCAGGAGTTTAGGTTTATCTTTTAGTCTAACCCTGGGGAGCCTCTGTCTGAGTCTCAGAGAGAGGTGGGGTTGGCTATTAAAAACAGAAAAAAAGTTAAAAATAAAAAGGAAAACAAGAATGTTTTGCTAACATCTCCTTGATAAAACATTTCATAGTACACGCAATGTATTGACCAATTTTTTTAAAAAAAACATTAAAAGATTCTTTGGGGAGCTTAGCATTAACTAAGTATTTTTATTATAATCCTACTGAAAAATGTGCAGACATAACCAATGGTTGCTATTTGATGCCTTCAAAGATGGGGTCAGAATAAAACATCAGTTGGTAAAATGAATTCCTTCTATGATGCTCTGGGGCATGCTTAAATTCCCACATACCATGTAAAGCTTAATTCCTTCCCGACACTCTGCTTTTCTTTCTTTCCAAACAGTTGCCAAAAATGTTATGCAGTATTTCATAACGTAATTACACTTTCAGTTCATGTGTTTGCGAATACAAATTAGTTGTACTCATTGAAATGTTGTGGCAGTACTAGATCATAAGGTGGCCCTGCGGAAGATCTGGAATATGTGTATATTGCTCTTATTATTCCTACCCAACAAAATTAAAACAAAACTAATTAAATTATTGCAATGTCTTGGATTCTGATATTTATTACTGACATTATAAAATCCAAATTTGAAAAGCTCTATGACATTAGAGATTGGGAGAGAAGATATCTTGCTTTGACACCCAACTAACAGAATAAAAGGCAGAAGGGGAGAGGTGAGCTTCCCTATTCCATGTAGCTTCTGGATGTTAAGAGCTCCAGAGAGCCCAGTTTAGCTTTGGCACCCAGAGGTGCCCATGGGTTCTAGCACCCATGGCTCTAGTGGCAATGAAACTGCCACCTTTCCATGCCTGTTACTCAGCAGGAAGGGACATCATTAGCAGAGCTTCAAGTGTCACTCACAGCCTGAGGTAGAGGCGGGTACAGACTATGAAAGGGCCTCACCATTTCTAGAAAATGAAGAAAACTCTACCGTGGCTAGAGCATATGTAAGTTGCAAAATTAACACCTTAGAAGAGCTAGGGCCAAAGAAGAAAAGATGTTCCTGGAGTGGAAGTGGAGGTCCAGGAAAACAGTTCCATGCTAGACAGAAAAAGGGGGACTGGAAGGAAAGGAGAGCATTGCCAAAGTCAGGCTTGCCAGACTTTACATATGTCTCCCTTAGGCGACTCCCATTGACACAAATGAAGTAATCTTAACAATAGAATTTCAGTGACAACAGAAGTTCTGAAAACATGTGGATGCTGGTATTCATCTACTCATTCATTCATTCAGTGAATATCTTTATGAGCTTCAATTTCTGTCCCAGGCTTCCTCAGCAGCAGAGGGAAATATCAGTGGAAGCTGAAGGTGTCACTCACAGCCTAGGTAGGGACAGCAATGAGAGCACAGGTAAGGTACAGAGGAATGCAAGGGCCCCAGCATTTCTCTCTGCACCAGGTATAAACTGGTGCCTAAAATGGGGCTGGGCTCTGCCCCTTGAGCTCACAGCCTATGGGGAATGAAAGAGAAAAAGAAATATAAGCCAACAGATAAAAATGTAACTATAAATTTTAATGATTGCTACGAAGAATAAAACCCAATATAGTCATAGAAACACAATAGAGAACACTTTCATAAGTAGGTGATGAAGAACTCTTTGTGGAAGTGATATTTGAGCAAATACCTCAAAGGCAAGTCATCCACATGAGAAGCAGGGAAAACATTGTGTGTGTGTGTGTGTGTGTGTGTGTGTGTGTGTGTGAAGGCCCTGAGGCATACGAAGCTGCGTGTGTTCAAAGAGCTGAAAGGAGATGAGCCTAGCAGGAAATCAGCTGTGGAGGTGGGCAGTTGCCCAAGATGAGGTGTGTGAGGCAGGGCACGGGCCAGGCCATCCAGGCTTTTTAAGGTGAAGGTAACAAGTTTACCTTTTATTGAGGTGAAGGTAACAATTTTATGTCTTAATTAAAATGCAATGAGAAGATTTTTAAGTAGAGGAGCTCTATGATTCTGCAAGATTAGAAACCAGAAGACCAGAAGGAAACTCTTGCAATAGCCCAGATAAAACCCAATAGTGACTCGGATTAAAGTGTTGGCAGAGTGAAGACAAATAGATAGATTTGAGATGGATTTTGAATGTTGAAACTTCATGGGTTGAAAGATTAGATGTGAAGTCTGAATAAGGAGGTACATCAAAGATAATGCTGTGAATTTTAGCTTGAGCAACTGAGTGATTAATGGTGTTACAGAGATAGAGAAGACTGGGTGATAAATGGTTTTTACTTCAGGTGGACAGAATACTAACAGTGTTATGTCAACTTTGAGATGCCTCTAAGAGGTCGAGGTTCAATACACACACTCTCTTCCCAGAAGAGAAATTTGGCTGGAGTTACAAATTCAGGTGTGCATAACATACAGATAGTAGTTAATTGCATGGGTAGAGGTGAATCACCGTGAGTTCTTGAGAAAAATGAGAATTGAGGGATTCCATCTTTGGGTCCCCTTCCACCATCTCTCTGGGATTTCCCCCTCTGGGGTCCCCTTCCACTCAGTGTGGAAGCTGCTTTCCTCTCCAGGATTCCATACTTGGGTCCCCCTCCACAATCCTCATGGAAACTTTCTCTCTCTCATCTTTTTCTCTTTCTCTCTGCCTAAATAAATCACTTACTGCAAAAACTCTTTAGGGTTTGACATTTACTTGAGAGTGCACTGCGCCATGGTCCTCTCTCCCATTCTTGCCTGAGTGAGAGACAAAGAGCCTGGAAAAACAGCCTCTTAGGGGAGCTAAGCACTCCCATGAACCCCTAAAACCCAGAAACAATTAGTGGCGAACCAGCCAGGAGGAGGCAGTCAGGAGCCAAGAAAGCATGTCAGAGGGCCCTCCAAGCCACAAAATTGTGGTGAATGGAAAAAAATGTATAAGCTTTGCCTCATTTAATTTTCTTGGATTGTTGAATAATCCTAGGGTTAAGTCAGCAGTGTTAGCATCTCTAAAGAAGTATGGCATGGGGACTTGTGGACCCAGAGGATTTTATGGTACATTTGATGTTCATTTGGATTTGGAATACTGCCTGGCAAAATTTATGAAGACAGAAGAAGCCATTATATTCTCATATGGATTTGCCACCATAACTAGTGCTATTCCTGCTTACTCTAAGAGAGGGGACATTATATTTGTAGATAGGGCTGCCTGCTTTGCTATTCAGAAAGGATCACAGGCATCACATAGTGACATTAAGTTATTTAAGCATAATGACATGGCTGACCTTGAGTGACTACTGAAAGAACAAGAGATCGAAGATCAAAAGGGGTCGCAAGGGACATAAGGTAAACAATTCCTGGAGGAACTATGCTGTATCCTGTCTGACCCTGCCCAGCCTCCCGTCAACCAGTGCACAAGTGCGGGGAGGCAGTGCCCAGCGCTCCACTGCCCCGCCCTCTGCAGAGGCGAAGACGTCACTGAGCACTGACGTGCACTTTTAGGATGCGTTTGTGACCTGCCTTCTGGAAGGAATCCCCAGCAGCTAACTATGGCGACCACCATGGAGCAGTGGGTACTGGTGGAGGTGCTCTACAAGGCTCCTGCTTACCATCTTATTTTGGAAGGGATTCTAATACTCTGGATAATCAGACTTCTTTTCTCTAAGACTTACAAATCACAAGAACGATCTGATCTTACAGTCAAGGAAAAGGAAGAACTGATTGAAGAGTGGCAACCAGAACCTCTTGTTCCTCCTGCCCCAAAAGACCATCCTGCTCTCAGCTACAACATCATTTCAGGTCAAGGGGGCTTCTGGTCTTGGAGAATCTTCTCTTGAAACAGCTATCTTTGGTTTCACAATTCTTCTGTCCACCTTGTGTGGCCTTGGATTCATGGCTGCATCTGCCTCCTCCACGGCGGTATACCTGACGAACCCAAAGCCCCTGGAGCACTTGGTGTTTGGATCTCCCATTACCACACAGTCCGTGAGCCTTCCCCATTGCTCAGAATGGCTCCTCAGGCTCTCATTGGTTGTTTCAAAGCTCAGCCCTCCAATGAAGAACTTCCTCAGCTCTTCGGGGCTCTTTAGGAGACTCCGACTTAGACATGATCACAGGGAGAAGAAAGACTTTACTGATGCTTCTTCCATGGCGTCCACGGGCAGAAAGAACTATTAATTATTTTTGACATGGAGTTTCACTCTTGTTGTCCAGGCTGGTGTGCAATAGTTCGATCCCAGCTCACGACAAGCTCTGCATCCTGGGTTCTAGCCAGTCTCCTGCCTCAGCCTCCCAAGTAGCTGGGATTACAGGCATACGCCACCATGCCTGGCTAATTTTGTATTTTTAGTAGAGATGCAGTTTCTCCATGTTGGTTAGGCTGGTCTTGAACTCCCGACCTCAGGTGATCCGCTTGCCTTGGCCTCCCAAAGTGCTGGGATTACAGGTGTGAGCCACTGCGCCCTGCCATAGATACCAATTTTTACTCAATTTTTTTGTGTGGTCAAAAGTGAAGGGACAGGCAGGATGAGCGGCCCAGCAGCCACATGGGCCAAGTCAGAGGTAGGAGGAGGAGCTGTGATCTGTGACATGTACGTGGCTAGGAGCAGGGAGTCTCAACAGGTAGGGAGATAGCAGGGGAAGCTGGGTGG